GTGACCGGATGAGTGAGGAAAAGGAAGACGGTTGTGTAAAAATTAGCAGCCGGTATCAGAGCTTTCTCTCTTTCTCTCAGGAAAATTTCTAAAAATAAGCAAAGTGTGAAAATGAGGGGAGGGGTCTTTACTTATAGAGACACCTAGAAGGCGAACCGTAACCACCCCAATTCGAATTCCAAAAAAAAAAATAAAAAAAAGGAGAGAGAGAAGGAGACGAAACGTCACCTTCTTAGAGCATGACACATGTGAGGGGCAAATGTTTAGGGTAAAAATACCCTATTTACGTGGCCCAATCACGTGCTGACACGTGTCAGCATCAGAGGGGTTATGAGAGAACCAATCCTCTGGCGACACGTGGCACTCTAGCATATGAAAGGGGAACTGATCCCCTCTCACTATAAATATATGTATAAAAGAAATTCTACCTTGCATTAACTTCAGTCATAGACTTAGTCTTCGCCGCACTACCGAATATCAATGGGTATTTTGGAGACTCTTCAAGCTCAGAGAAGTTAATAGATTCACCTTGAAATTTAGAGGAGTCATTTTGGCCAGTTTATGTGTTACAAGAGCAAAGTATTGTACTACAAACTAAGCTAATGATAATACCTTAATCACTTTGTTGTTACCTAAGACAATATCAGACTCGAGGTAACGATATATAGTAGTAGCGGCAACAGTTATGATCCAAGGAGCCACATTGACAACGGATTGAAGAGAAGGGCCATAATTTCCTGCAAAGCATAGCACGGTGATCCCCTTTTAGACTGCATGGAATGCACCAATAGCAATAGGATCAGTGAAGAAATCAGGTACAAATGAAGATGATGCTCTAATAGATAAGGACATCATATCAACACCATATGCTATTGCGTCATCAAAATTTACCAAGATAGCAGATCCAAGGCATCCGTCAGGGAAGCACACGCGATACAAAACTATGTGGGATGTTGGAGATCCTTCCTATGTTGCACTGTTAGCTAAGCCATAGTATGAAGCATTTGCTACTAAGACACCTGCTGTTGTTGATGCTACATGTGTGCCGTGGCCTAATAAATCTCTAGGCGACTGCATTTTTTTATTCATTGGCTTTATCTTTATAGTATCTTGCTCCTATCAATTTTCTACATATATGATAAACCTGATGATTACTAATGAAAATAGAAGCATACCAAGTGCAAAATTCATTAGTCTACCACTAACTATCTCATACCTCTACCTAAGTGAAAAATACCAGTAATTCATGAAACATACTAAGATTAAAAAGACATTAACAAGCTAAGAAACTGCTTCTATTTTAGGTAAAAATACCCTGTCCACGTGGCCAATCACGTGTTGACACGTGTCATCATCAGAGAGGTTCTGAGAGAACCAACCCTCTAGTGACACGTGGCTCTCTAACCTATGAAAGGAGAACTGATCTCCTCTCACTATAAATATAGGAAAATCCTTATTTATTACATATTCATAAATATACACACAAAACCCGAGCAATATTAATTGCAGTCTGTGGGTAGAGTACTTCTAAGATGGCATCCAAAGAGTCTGTACCTCTTGCTGAAGGCAAAAGGCCTACGGTCGAAGCCCAGGTCCACACGTACCAAGATAGTAGTGACGACCTTGAAGTCGACACCTATGGGGCCCCAGACGGGTCATTCAGAACAAGACGCACCCGTTCCAAGGAAACAAGGGAACGAGGCGAAGACAAAGCTGTTCTAAGCAACCTAACCGTCCAGCCGGCTGGGCGACCCTAGGCGGCGTAGGGTGCTGATCCCGTTACAAGAGACGAACTCATACAATTCATGACGAGTTTCAAAGGGGAAATCAAGGACCTTATAAACAAGTTAACTGGCACAGGGGTCAGTCGGCTAAGAAGCCTTCTCCCTTAGGGAAGAAGCATGTAAAGGATCATGTGCCTACTCCTCACCCTAAACCAAAGGGGACGGATGGGCCCATGATCGACCTTTCAAAGCTCCGTTTCCCTGAATCAAGGAAAAGGAAGGCCATCCGGCAAGTTCAACCGGATGGCTCAAAAAGGACTTACTCAGATGCCCGGATGTTAATTCAGTAGAAGATAAGTCAACAGTTATCTGACTCGGCCTCAACGTCGACTTACCTAGACAGTTTCCAGAATACTTCAACGAAGTATTCGGAAACAAACCGAGAGAGTCAGTCACGCAGCTTGTCCGCATGTACTAGCCCTCAGATTATCTAGCCGGCTCCGTATGTGCCCAACAGCCATACATGCCATATGGATCACCATACATGCAGCCGGCCCTCTTTGGGGATCAGGCGGTAGAACATGTCCAACTAATGGACTTGCAGCTCCGGCTGCTAAACCTTGGGGAACAGCCGTCGGCGTTCTCTAGGGAGATAACCGAGGCGGCTCAGCCGACCAAGGTTAAGAACGTGTTGGTTGGTACCGATGACGGTACCACCTGAAAGGAATGGTGTCCTTCCAACAAGTGTATTATTCTGATAGAGGGTTTAGAATTATTACAGAGCTAATTCTTCAATAAGGTCAAGTGATCGGAATGCCTAGGTGGAGGCCGCTTCCGATCAGTAATATTAAGGTACAATTAATATTACAGCTTAATCTTAACTGAACCCTTCGGGTCGAACCCAATCGAAGAACCGATCCGAGACGACGAATCAATCCGAAGGATTCGATGAGTCGTCGGAGTTTTACGAACACAGACGTCGGATATCGAGCATCGAGCGTCGAGACCGAGCGTCACAAAATCACAAGCAACAAGTACGAGCATAGCCGTACCATCACATTGGCCTAGCCATGTAAGTGACAGGCTAGGCTAGTTCAACGCAAGCTTAGCATGCTAGGTACTTGCGCATATGCTAGCAAGCCATGCGCCCAAGCATCGCAAGGCTAGGCTTTGCTTGCATGCTAGGCGTTGGTGCTAGGCAAGGCCTAGCATCACTCATCGCACCATCGCAGTCCTTCGCACAACACAGCACCATCGCAAGTGCTAGGCACTAGCGTGTGTGCCTTCGCACAGCTCATCGCACCATTGCAGCACATAGCACAGAACTAGGCAGCATCGCCATGTGCGTGTGCATCGCTAGCACAGCCCCAAGCAATAGCATGCTTGTGCGTGTGGCCGGCGAGGCAATGCCCAGCATGCGTGGCTCGCTAGTAGCACACATGTTGGCTATGCGATGTGTGTGCGAGAGGCTAGCCAGCAGCACTACGCACCAGCAAGCAAGGTTGTGCGTGTGTGTGTGTGTTGGCTAGGCAGCAGCATTACGCTAGCAGCGCCCAGCAACCCAACAACACGCAACAAGCACATGCTGGGCGTGTTGGGGCCAGTGCGTGCTGGCACCTTGAGCTGGCTGGTGTGCTGGCGTGCTAGCTGGCTGCCAACCCAACTGCCTTTGTGAGTGGCGGTTTAGGAGAGGTGGGGTGCTAGCTGGCTGCCAGCCCAACCGCCCCCATGAGATATGATCCTCACCTAACCCATTCTCTCTTCTTGCCACTTGTTGCCTTGTGATTGCATTTGCTTTATAATTTGTTTTAGAATTAAATAAATTAATACATTGGCACATGATCCCACATTGATCATGAAATGGGATTCAAGTCCCCATTCTCTATAAATACCCCTTGGTTGGGATTTTGAGAATACACAACTTGAGTATAACTCAAAAGGTATCTCCATTGTTGAGAAAGCCTTAAGTTCGTAAAACTCCCTTTTTATTTGATCGGGTCCCGACTAACCTTCGGGACTTGGATCTCTCGGGTCGGGGTTCGAGGGTACGAGCCGTCGGAGACCTTGCGATTGCGGGGTTCAAGTAAGAGCTTTTTCGGTGAGCGAAGCACGCGTCTAGGGTATAATTCTTTATCCCTTTCTCTCTTAATTATGTATTAATTATGTTTTGCATGCTTTAATTGCTTTAGTTATCGGGGCGGGTCTTGGGGGGTTTCTTTCCGCGTAGAGTGGGTCTTACGAAACCCTACAGCGGTATCGGAGCCGCACTCCTTTTAATTATTGCAATTATTTATTAATTAAGGTGTTTTAAAGTAGATTTAAATTCTGGTTTTGCTTTTCTAATTAGATTAGAAGTATGTTTTTAAAATAGTTTTAATCTCGTATTTTTCGGTTTTTGGTCTGGGAACTCGGATTTTGGCACAAAAATAGTGTTTTTTGGGTGGAATCGACGTTCTAAATCAGTTTCAACCCTGCTTGAGGACTGACCAGAAGCCAAATTCGAACCAATACCCATTTTTTGAGGTTTTTTTCGTTTGTACTGCCTTTGAGCAATATCAGGTTATATCCAACCAGGATAGCTATCCCTATGACAGGGGCAAATGTTTTGGGTAAAAATACCCAAGGCCAGTGGCCCAATAAAATGGTGACACGTGTCACCTTAAGAGAGGTTAAAAATAAACCAATCCTCTACTAACACGTGGCATCCCCAATCATTGGGAAAAAGACGGCCTTCCTGGCCCAATTCCCGGGATAGCCCATCATTCCTAGGTTTGCATAACCTAGGAATGACGGCGTGCATCCCAAGAACCTATAAATAGGGAGATGTTCCCACTTGGGGACACATTCACAAACATTCACTGAAAACAATGCAATCATTAATTGCAGATATTTACCTCTCACCTCAGAGAATACCCTCGATCTCGGAATCCAAGAAGGTACTTTACTTTCCGCACTTTTTACATCATTCGAACACGTTCTAACTTGATCGTCGGAGGCAGAACTCCACCCCACCGGAGTCCTCGTTGTTTTGCAGGTACAGACGCCCAAAATCCAGTCTTGGAATTGTAACTCTCCCGAGGGACACAGAAAACCCCGAAACACCGGTTATTAAGAACCGGTGCGAAATAAAAATCACACCGGTTCAAACCTAACCGGTGCAAACATGAGTTAATTGCACCGGTTCGAACCAAACCAGTGCGAATGTTGATGTTAAAAAAAATATATCATCCCCCTTTCTTCTTTCTTTCTCTTTCTGTCTTCTTTCTTTCTCTTTCCTCGATCTCTTGTTCTCTCTCATCTCTGGCTCTCAGTCATCTTCTTCTTCTTCGTTTTTCTGGGTTCTCTGTTTCTTCACATTTTCGCTACTGAGCTTTGTATTTTGGGGTTCGCTACTCTTCGATTTCTATTCATCTTCTTTTTCTTCGATTTCTAGGTTCAATTTTCCTAAAATCGATTTTCTATTCATCTTCTTCTTCGTTTTCCTAGGTTCGATTTTCCTAAAATTTATTTCCATTCATCTTCTAACTCTTCGTTTTTCTGGGTTCGATTTTCCTAAAATCGATTTTTCGCAAATCAGAAACCCTAGATTTGTGTTTGAGTCCCTCGATGTCGGCCATGAATGTTTTTCCCATTACACCTTGCGTTATTTGAGAGTGAAAATGGGTTAATCTTAGCCCTAATTGACGCACTTGAGCAGGGGTCGTCATGGCCAGAGCTCTTTTACAATCCGGCACGGGCCTTGACATAATTCTCCAACTAAGTCTCCCTGTTCGAAATGAACTTGCTTGCTGACATTTGTTGGTAGATTTCTAAAACCCTAACCTCTTTGTTACTTAAGTTTTCTAAATTTATTTTAATTCTATACTTAGAAGCATGTTTAAGTGGCGGATGAACGATTGATATTGTATACCAGCATACGTTGCTGGCAGGCTGGATTATTGTTGATGGTTATGTTGCTGGATTATTGGATGCAAGGGGACTGTTATTGTTACGTCGTGAATTATTTGCTTTATTTTGATAAAATTTGCGGTTTTTGTTGATGAATGTTGTTGAAATTTACGATGAATGTTGATGAATGAAGTGAGGTTTTTGTTGATGAATTTCGGTTTTTGTTGAGGAATGATGATGAATTTTGCGAATTTTTGAATTAACTTTACTCGTAACATATACAGAGTAGTACATGTCATGCATATAAATTGATAAAATCACAAGTTTTAACCTTTTTTTTTATGAATTAGTTTCTAGTTTAGCTTTTTTTGATGAATTCATTTCGGTTTTGGCCTTAATTATGGATTATTCTTCTAATTTTGATCCAAGTGGTTGATGAATTGTCCCTTTAAATGCATACATTCTTTGAATTTAAAGATGTGTGTCCCATCCTAATTGTAGATAACTGTAATTTGAATGCTTCATGAATGAAGCAGAAATTAGGGTGTTCCTTTGATTAGGTAACTTGATTGCCCTTTTATATGTCGTCCCTTAAATTTATTGGATTATGTCCCTTGATGTTATTGATGAAATTTCTGATTTATTGTTGACTGAGATGGAGGATTGTGTGTTGCTTGTTGATAAATGGTTGCCAACAAATGTGGTCTGTTGCTGGCTAGGGGATGTATGATTGTGATATGTTGTCGTTGCTATTGATGTTGTTTCTTGATGTTCCTTTTTAATGTCCCTTGATTAATGTTATTTGGAACATGTCCCTTAATTATGTCCATTGTTTAATGTTGCTTGGAATAAGTTCCTTGATTATGTCCCTTGATTTATGTTGCTTGGAATATACTCCTTGACTATGTCCCTTTTTATTAACTGACCCCAATATAACAAACCAATGCTTGTCCCTATTTCACCCCAATGTCTGTCCCTATTTTACCCTATTGACTATCGATATGTCTTCCCCTGTTGTCAATGATGAAACCTCTGCTTGAGAGAGCCCAACTTCAAGTGAAGTGATGAATAATATTTGCCATTGACCTCCCATGCAAGGGGACTGTTATTGTAATGAATGATGATCATGTGTACTATTAATGTGCCCAATGAACTTCTTTAAGCGGACATGCTGTGTGCTATAGATATCATAATGCGTTGAGTCCCTTGGTCATAAATAGTTACACTAGGATAATCCAATATGATGAAGGGACTCACTTTCATCGTACAACTTCTCACTGTGATTTGCTCCGGTTTGTCAGTTGAGGTAACACAACTTGAGAAATTTTTGGATGAAAAAAAACCCCCTGATGGATTCATACCACAAAATAAAATTGATTTAGAAAGACTTCATTCCATTGAACAAACATTGTGTTACAAATGAGTCTAACTACAAAAGTTTTCTAACAAGACTATCCTTCAAAACAAAAGCCGAAATACAAAAGTACACATAACCAACATGTTTCTAATAAATGAGTCATATTACAAAATGTTGCTTGTTGTTTATGTGTGGCAGCTAAGCATACATGATTTGCCTTTCTTTACCTAATCTGCATCCACCTCAAACTCTATTGTGCCATGTTGGTCTTGAGTTGTGTGAATGAAATTGTTGTCGAGGTAATTAACTGCTTGGTCAATTACTTGTTGACTGACCTCTACTTGTTCCGGGAGCAAACCAAGCCTTTCTAGTCTCTGTTTCCCAATGTGTGGGATCTTATACTTGTTCCCCCTTTGACTTTTAAAATTTCAACCATGCACATTTGTAATGTGATCCAAGTGTATTTATTTACACTAGGATGGGATTCATCATATGCCACCTTCACCCTCTCTACTAATTCATCTAAGTTTTGGGGGAATGCATGATGTTGAATTGATTATATAGCTCGAAAGAGTCCCAAATCCAACACATTTAAGTCGGGTGATTGTGGGGGTATAAACAAACTATATGTTGAACCCCCCATTTTCAGTGGCTGCCTTAAATTCCCAGTCAGTAGAGACTTGATGGGGCCTTGCATTGTCCCATTGTATGAACACATCCCTAGGCAAACTCTCTAGCCACTTGCATTTGGTAATTATTTGCATCCTGAAGCAGAGGAGATATATATGGCTTTATCTGTCAAATCATCAATTTGAAGCTTGACCTCAACTTTAACAAAATGTGGGAATGGTACAGTTTCCATTACCAGCGTTAGTTGTTTTTCTTTCATCTTTATGGCTGCCAGTCAGACCTCAAATTCAAAATTCTTCATTTGACAGATTCAATGTACTCTAAAGTATATCAAGTATGTGTCACAACATATCTTGCTTCGGAAAATGATCTATAAATGGCTAATGGTCAGTGTTTTCTCCATGACATTTATGGTTTGCTTTTGCTTTCAGTGTAGCAGGTTGTTCACATCATGTCTCCTACATTGAGCAAGTGGGAAATGAAAAGAAGTCTTTTAAGCTGGATGCATTTTTAGAAGGATCATATGGGAACAGGTATTTGCACTGCTGATTCCTTTTTTATCATTTCATTTATTATTTTCTGACCCCCACTCCCCTTCCACCACCTCAGCTGGTCATCTGGCGGGCAGAATGAAACTCAATAAAAGCATAATTACGATGGTGGATAACAATGATGTAAAACAAGTGAAAATGGACCTAGTATAATTTGATAAAAATAGTTATTGTTTGAAAGTTTGTTTGCGATGTCTTGAATTTATTGATTGTAGCAGGGTGCCCCTTGTAATGCATATTCCGCACAATTTATTAGCTTGCTGCATTACTTGGTGGAAAAATCTTTTATTATTACTTTATTCTTTTGTTTGTCAAACTCTCTTACTGAGTTGTAGCTTTCATTCCAAACTTTAAACTACAGCAACTATCTGCATTGTTATTATTAATTTTCCTCCTGCATGTACCCCTTATATTTGTGCTTCGATTTAAGAATCCATCCTCTTTGTTGATGTCCTTGTAACTTTGTAAGTATGCTACATAGCTATAATTAAATGAATTTTAGACTGCCAAACAAATTTCAAAATGTAAGGTGCTGGTGAGAGTGGAGTATCTAATATCTTTTGTTGAGAGAAATGCTTCTTAACATATATGCGAAATTCTTAGATTATTACTTCTTAACATGCTGCCTAGCTCTTATGACAATAGGCAAACTCAAGACTGGTACAAAAAAGACACTTTACTGAAAAGAACACGAAAGTGCCCTGTATCCATACTGTGCAGAATTATGCGTTATTTCTGTAGAGATGCTTCTTATTTGATATCTATACTCTTTGATAATTTATTTACTTGTAAGATTTTCTTAGTGCAATGGGCCTGACTTGGGAAGGTAACAACTTGAAGATCTCTTCTTTATTGTATTCCCTATCTTTAGACAACATAAATCTTTGGTGACATGACATAGTGGAAGGACTACTTTGCTTATTACTAATAGGGGCGAAGTTCGGCTTTGGTTTGGATATGGGAAAAGTCCAATCCAATTTGAAATAAGTAACATTTTGGAACTTGAGCTCAATCCAATCCTGATTTCACCAAGTCCAGTTTGATCCAATTTGCTCTAGAACTAGCTAATTTGGATCCAATGCAAAAATCAAAATTAATAAAAACTTCTTGTTATACTTATTTGTTTATTTTTATCATAATCCATGAACCTTTTTTTCCATTATTAAAGAAATGAAAACTAATGCTTACAAACCTAAACATTAACCCACATGCCTTACATAAGTGTTAAAGACCTACATAACCATCTTAAGAGTTAAATAAAAGTCATAAAATATAACACCAAAATATATTTTGTTAAACAATACACCAACATATTATAAATCTTAAAGAGAATTAATTAATTTAATTATTTCGGTTTGTTCGATTTATGGATCCAAACATTCTCAATCCGATCAGATTAATATATCTGATTTATGAAGTTTGAGTCCAATTTAATCTGATTTGCATAATAGTCCAATCTGAATCACCAATTCATTTTGGATTTGATTTAAGATTTAAGCTGAATGACTTTCACGTCTTGTACATTATAAGCACTGCTGAATTGTTCAATGTATCCATGGATCATGAAGATTTTTGTCCAATACTAAGAGCTAAAGATTAGTGGAAAAATTGACAATCTTATCCGAAAATCAGAACAAAGAACCGGATGGAATGGGAGTTAAATAAACCAGAATAACTCTCTTTTAATTGTCAAAGCAAATAGAAGAAAAGCCTCAGTGTGTCTTCCAGATGACAGACATGCTCCTAGATTCACAGGAAAACAAGAAAAAATAACTTATAATGTGTTAATTATAAAGCAGAGAAAACGATAATATCTTTACATTGACATATGTATATACCAATTTCCCAAATAAAAATGAAAATTTGAATACACAAACACTCTCATTTACCATCTATCACTGCAAACAAAAATAAATACACTAGTAAACTTAAATCTATTACTCCATTCCCTTTCTTCTTTTTAATCAAACTATATGTCAAATCTCACTTAGATCTAAATATTTCTAGGGCGGGTATGTTTACATCATCATCTATGACTCCATTCCCTTTCTTCTCTTTAATCAAACTTGTAAGGGTCTTACGTTCCTTTTCTCTCCTATCCCTTTCTTGATTTAATACCCTTTTCCTTTGTTTTTGCAAACGCCTCCTAACTATCACCCCAAAGTTACACTTATAGTTTCCTCATTTCTACCCTCCTTACACAATCCATAGCTAATCCTGTCCACCACCATAACCTTTTTCTTTGGTTCTTCTTTTGCTACTCCTTAACACATTACCTCCAATTCAAGCAAGTTTTAAATGAAAACAATAGTACGCGTATCTACTCCTAATGAAGCCAAGCCGTTTTTTAGTCAATTCGAGTAAACTTGATAAAGTTTATTGCTGTTAAAGTAAAATTAAGCTCGAACGAGCTTTGAGAATTCTTGTTCGAACATGGCTCATGTAGAGTTTTGCTTCTTCGTGTTTTGTTCACAAACGTGCTCTTTTTAATTTAAGATTCATCTCCTGCTTGATAAAATAAATGTCCCTTAGATGACCTTAAATACAATACTCTAAAGTTTCTATACAAGTATCTAATTTAATTCAAGTTTTGTTTTTTTAGAATCACTTTTGTAAAAAGGGCCATATTGCCCAATTATTCATGTGTAATGAAACCTTTGATTTAGAATATAAATAGATACTAGGGTAATTTGAAATGTTAGTATGCTTACAAATATGCTTACAAATGCACTTAAGCGGGTTGCTCACAAACGTTGACAAGTCTAACATGAAGTTATATGAGCTTGGGTTTTTTTTTTTTTTTTTTTTTTTAATAAAATGAATTTCAAATTTTTATTCGAGGTTGTTTATAAACTTAACAAATGTGTATTGATCGAGCTTTGCCAATTGCTGCTCTAAGTTGGATTTTGATTGAAGCTGTAATTAGCAAGTAATTAAGAGATTATAAGCTGCATTTGATGAATGGAACTTAAAAAAAAATATAACAGGAACCGGGATGACTTTGTATTAGCTAATTAATAGTCGGCGCTATCATCCACTCTTCAGAGGTAGAGTTCTCCCCCTAGAAAAAAGGAAAGCATAACAACTTTCTAGAATCACAAAAATTATTCTCTTCATTTTATTACAGCTTCTTGACTGGCTGGCTTACTCTCCACTCGACTTGTTAACAAACTTCTGACTGATTCCTTGCTTATCCTTGTAACTGTTTTTTGTGATAATACATTATCAACTTCCAATTACTGCTTTGCCTTTACCCTTTGTGATAGAAGTAATGAGAGGTTGGAGAGGGGGTAGTTTGATTCCCTGCACCGAGGCATGTTCGTAAGTGGTTCATGAGCGTATCGGCTCATTTGCACCCCTACTCCATGGATGTGTGGCAAGCTGTTTTCATTGGTATGTGTGTTTGGAAATTATGATGAATGTGAATTTGGTTTCCATTTTTGACAAATTTCTTCATTTGAGAACCAATGCAGAAATAATATGATAAAAAAAGTAAAGTTTACAAAATGAAACAGACTATCATTTTCTTTTGCTTCGGTCTTCCTTCCAACTCCTACCGCAATCTTCCTTCCAACTCCTACCGCAATCCTCAATTTCCGCAAAAACAGCCTGATTATTCAATAAATATGAAGTATAATAAAATCCTCCTTTGCCAGAATAAAGTCATCTTGCCAGAGTACAATCAAATCTAACTTCTCGGTACAATCCATGTTTAGGGATTCTTAATGGATGCCTTGTAAATCAGCTGAAAAGCATCCTCTATGCATGAGTTGAACTTCTGCACGTCTATATAGCCTTTTTCAACGCCTACTGCAATCCTCAATGTCCGCATGTAACTCAAAACTGTTATTGTTAGGCTCTGCAAGTTTGTAGAATCTTCAGTACAACATCAAGATTTGTTTGTAAATTCTTTTTACAGTGCCTTTATATTTGTGTATTATTTGTGAGTAAAGTGGAATAAATCTTATAAATATATACTATTGTTTAAGTGTAATGATAATAGGAACTCTAGGTAGCTTTGATATTAAAAAAATGATTTGTCTCTCTGATTCCAACTGAAACAGTTGTACTACTCTGTGTGATACATGATCATTGTGATGTGGGTTATTCTAGCACCTTAGACGATTTTAACTTATATACTATGAAAATTGAAGGGTCTTTTTTAGGGGTGTCAATTCGGGTAAATAGTTTGGGTTTGGGTTCGGTTTATCAGTTTCGGGTTATCACTGGTTGGTTTATAACGGGTTGAAATGATTAGTGGGTCGGTTTTGAAAATCATCGGGTCAGTTTTTTTTTTTTTTTATTTATTTATTATTTTTTTTTATTGCGCTTTCTATTCGGGTCGGAACTTAATCGGGTCGAGTTATAGTTGGTTCGCGTCAAAATCAGTTTGGGTTGAACGAGGTCGGTTTGAAAACGAATTTAGCTAGTTTAAAGTGGGTTTCGGTTCAAAACAATTCGGGTCCTAATCGGATTGGGTTGTAATCGAATTTGGTCATAATCAGTTTGGGTTAAACTGGGTTGGTTTGAAAATGGGTTTTGGTTCAAAACAGATCGGGTGAAATCGGGTTCGGTCATTATCGGTTCAGGTCATACTTGGTTTGGATTGAACTTGGTCGGTTTGAAAACGGGTTTACCCAATTTAAAGCATGTTTCAGTCCAAATAATATTGAGTTAAAATCGAGTCGGATCATTATCGAATCGTGTTAGCCAGATGATGGGTAGGAACGGGTCATGTTATAATCAACTTAAGTTATAAATAAGTTAGGTTTATAGAGTAGTGGATTGAAAAGGATCAGATCATAAACATATAGGGTTACGAGTTGTAAACGACTCAATCATAACAGGTTACCGGTAGTAAACGGTTCGGTCTTAAAAGGTTACGGGTAGTAAACTGTTCGGTCTCAACGGGGTACTAGTTGGAAACGATTCGTTCACAACGGATTACGGGTTATAAATGGTTCGGTCATAACGGGTTATGGGTTGGACTGGTTCAGGTTTATCGGATTTTTTTCGGGTTTAAACCGTTTTCGGTTAAAAATGGGTTGGGTTATTATCGGGTTCAGACGTAATCGGTTCGGGTTGTTGTCAGTTTTAGGTTGTAACAGTGTGGCTTGATAACTGGTCGGGTTAGTAACGGTTCGCACAAATTCGATTCAGTTCAGTTTCAGGTTAAAAAAATTGGGTCGGGTCGGTTTTCGGTTTCCAAAAATGGGTTTTTAACGGTTTAGTTCCTTTTTGGATCGGTTCAAAACAGTCGAGTTTAACGGTTCAGGTTAGAAACTAACAGCTCTAGTCTTTTTAGAACAGGCGTGGAAGGACCCTAATTAGCTGCGATGCTGGAAGTGAAAAGGAAAATGCAAATTAAGGTATTATATTTATTGCTTGTTTAAGCTTCTTGGAAGAGAGTGAATGTGATGCGTTGTACTCAGTATAGTGCAGTTATGACCCCCCCCCCCCCCTCCTCTTCCTGCGGCTAGCACAATCAGTTGCGTTAGATTCTCTTAATAGAATTAGAATCGTTTCCAGTGTTTGTTATTTTCTATGCTTTGTTATATCATTTTTTCTGAAATCCAGCATTCTGTCTCCCCTCTTTCTCTGTGTAGCTTACCTGAGGAACACCAACGACCATGAAATACATGCCTTTGCATGGTTGATTTGCTAAGGCCATTTTTTCGATTGGACCAATCATATTTGAGATTGTCATGGTTGATTTCTGCAGTGTACAATGGATGAATCCAGCCGCTGCCTGAAAAGATAAATGGTCACACCTTTAAAATAATTATTTCAGTGTAGTTTAAATTTGATGCTATTTGATAGCCTGGAAATGGAAACACGTCATAATAATATGATTAGGGAGGGAGAAGGGGTGGGGTAGGGGGAGCAGCAGATAAAAACTAAAGAATCTTATGCTGTCGTGGAAATAGTAACACACTTGAACTAAAGTATAACAATTAGAAAGGAAGACTGCCCAAGTTCCTAACCGGTGCCTATAACAATGCATACCTTTTATCATTAGGCATTGCTGCATTAGTTTGAGTTCCTGAAAAATTTAGTCACCTTTGTGCCATTGTACCTAATGTAATTGCCTTTTTGGATTTAAGGTGTTCACACATTGTCAACTATTTTCTGTTTGATTTTTAGAGCATTCTTGATTTTATAGTATGACAAAATGTTAGGGTAATGATATGTTTTAAGTGGGATTTTTCATAAATATGATGTCATGTGAAAGTTTATGAGTTAGTTGTAATGAAATTAATAAAAGAATAAGAGCATGTTGATGATGGAGATGCATTACTGTGCATTAAGCTAGGGCATGACCTACATAATTGAAAATAATCTTTCCATTTCCTTAATCTATGACTTTATAGCAAATAAATGAATGGCTTATGCTGTTTGTCAGGAAGAAGACATATTTAACTAAAAAATGGTTGGATTCTTTTGCCTGTATATTGCTCTAGTTGTTTGCTGTTAATGAGTAGTTTATAAAGTGCTTCTCTCTTATGTAACTCTATGTGTTCAGCAGAATAAAGCTTTGACATGTAAATTGGCTACCCATGGAAGCTTTAACTCTCTTTAGTTCCTATTTTTGCAGCTTGATGTTATCAAGCTGATGTTGAATTTCATTCTCAGAAAGACATTGCTTGATCTGTGACTGGAATTTTTGTTGTTAAGGAATATGATCATTAGCATTTAGCATAGTTACAGAACAATTTGAACAAGACAGCATTAACATAGTGAAGTTAGACGCACCTCAGGGCCTCTGCATTTCCTTAAAAGCTCCAGGCTCTGACCAGTGAGATAAACTGCCAAAGAATTTCTCTTCCTCTTAATGATTTTCTGTGCTTCAGAGATAAATTCGAGGGGGTTGGAAGAATTATTAATTAAGTCAGGTAATGCGACATGCATAAATGCAAACTGGTTTCCCCATTTCGAATCTGAGTCAGCTTTAACCATTTCATCAACAGACTTGTAACCATTGATTTTTCCGGTGTTGAGCAGCACTAATGCTGTTGATTCGGAATTGCTGAATCCTTTTCCTGTTGATTGCATATATAATCGAGTCCCAAGGAATATTATGCCAGTTATCACATCATTTATTGTCTGCATGAGTAGACTTAGTGTTAAGAGTTGCATCATTTATCTTTAGTCCATTTCAAGAAGGCATTCACTCAAAAAAAAAAAATCTTATTCCATACTTATCTATCAGAAAATCTGTTACTTGTAGCATTGAAATACTGATATATTACTTGGACTTAATGCCAATATTAGAATGGATTATGCTTAATGCCTTCTATTACTGCCGTACCATTTTCTTTTTCGTGCACTACTACTATGGCCAACTAGTATGATGAAGTGTAATATGAGTTCCGTTCAATTTTGATTACCCTTGTTACATTAGGCAATTTTGGTCCAGCCTATATTGTTTATTGTGCTACTACTCTGTTCTGACTGCATTAGAAAGATTTTTATACTTCATTTCTTTTTAGTTGAATCACTTTCTTAAAACGGAAATTTCAAATCAGTTACATCACTTTTCTTTTTAGTTAATGAACTCTGTCTATCTCTTTTCTATCATATGGGTCCATTTTTTTATTCTCTCTATCTCTCTCATCTCTAAAAATTGCCTAAGAGTCTGCAATTTACAAAGTGATACAACTAAAAAAACGGAGGAAGTATAAATTATTATACTGTCAGACAGGTTTCTAATTTCTATGAAATTGTACTCTGCATACTTGTCTGTTGTTTAAAGTGCATAATTAAATGTAATTAACAGATGCAATTGAGGAAACTTTTAATTGTTTTATATGCTGCAACGACACAACGTCCATCCAACCCCCCTCCCATTTCAGAAAAAGGATTAAACAAACAGATATATAGATTATAAAAGTCAAGTAAAGAAAATCTTACCACTCCTATCGTTGTTTTGATTTGTCTGATTTGATCCAGGGACAATGCTACAGTAGAGATCTGTACTGTATGGAATTCCACGCCCTCATCCCCAGACCTAATTGGTGTTCTATCATCAGCAATTAAACTGCTCTTCAGAACCCTCAATCCATAATCTAAGTTTGTATTGTAGATTGCTGAAATGGTTTTTGGCAAACAGCCTACTTCATCCGCTGCTTTGCTGTTAGCTTCTGAGCTTGATTTTACTGATGGGAAGGTTACTGGAAGGGAAGGATCATCCGCTCGTTGCATACAGGAAAGAAGTGCTCCCATTAGAGAGAAGCCATCACCGAACGCATGGTGAAGCTTGAAGATGAGGTGTCCGGCTGCTTTGGTTGTCGGGTACTTAATGATGTGAACTTCCCATAACGGGCTTGTCTTTTGGTAATGGCTTCATAGCAATCTCAGTTTATATATTTGTCAAAATAATCATCATATTCTTCTAATGACAAGCCCTCTGGGAAGCTAGGAATATGAAGATGCTCTGGAATGTTCACCTCCACCCTTTTCCATTGTTTTACACCTTTTTTTTTTATCAAATACCTGTTTTATATTCAACATCAATTCAAAAAATTAGTTATAATTGTCTGAAACTCGGAAAATCTTGATACTTTGATGTCAAGGTGGTCAGCAAGAAACAGAGACAATGATTATGAATTACCATAATGGATGAAAATCTTGGATTGATGGGAAGGAAGAGATCCTGAAGTAATGATAGTGCGCTGGAATCGTCTATGGGATATTCAGATTCCATTATTGATAGGACGCGAATTGATAAGGTATTGCTATTGAAGTACTGTCCTGTAGGAGACACAGCTTCATCTACCACATCCTCTTTATAACCTGTTTTTATTTTGAACCTTGAATCCATTTTTCATGGCTGTAAAACAGGTGAACCGCTATGTAAAATACCGGGTTCGGCTGTCTTTCGAGTTTTGGTTTCGGAAGCTGGTGGTGTTGCTAGTAGTAGCAGTATTTGGCTCAGGGAGTATGCAAGGGAGATGAGTTCTTTGTGGAGCTTATGAGGTGAAGGTTGAGGACTTGAGGATAACCTTCCCTCAATTTTGTGTACATTTATACTGAACTCGTATTGCATTTATGAAAGTTAAATGGGAGTTGAAACCATTATTGAAGCTGTTGAAGTTGAAACCATTATTGCAGAACGGCCGTGCAGTTGACTCCCATCCTATTATGTATTGTCCTGTGATCTTCACTGATGATACGAATCTGCCAATTTTTGTTTTTGAGTGGAATAGTTAATGGTGTCAATAAGTCTAAAGAAAGTTCAGTTATGGAGGATGATGATATGGTGTCGAGGGAAGTGAAATTTCGTGTTTATCTCCTTCATAAACATAGCAATGTTTAACAAGTGGCAATTTCGCATTTAACTCTAACAGATATATAGTTTATTTATTAACTAACAGTTTTGTATTTAATTGTAATAAATAGGAAATTTCGACTTTTGCTACCACAAAAAACCTTGAGTTTCATTTTTGCTACCCCTTAAATATTTTTATTTTATTTTACTACCACCTAAAAACACCTTTGTCAAAATTTGCTACCACTTAACGGAATCCATTAAGTTTATTCAAGATTCCGTTAAGTTTATTCAAAAAAAAAAAATTAAAATGTATATAAAAAAAAAAAGCCAACCACCCTTAATTGCCCCCCTCCCGTCAGCCACCCTCCCCCCTCCCCCCTACCGGCGGCCAAAACTTGGGCCAACGTCGGCGACCCCCACCTACGCAGCCACCTCCCTCGCTTTTCCCCCTCTTGCAGCTCCCCCATCTCCTAACCTCAGCCCCTGGCAGCTCCCCCATCTCCCGCCACCCCACCCACATCAACCACCTGCCGGACCACCATCACCCCAACCAGCCACTATTCCTGCCAGCGAACCTCACCAATCCCCAACCCTTGCTTGTAACCCCACCTAGCTCCCACGTCGCCGCTTCCACATGAAACCCCACCCACTTCGCCGCTTCCCGTCAGCCACCCTACCCACGTCGCCGTTTCCTCACGAAACCCCCACTTCGCCGCTTCCTCTGCTCAATCGAAGCTCACCATCGCCGAAAGCTCACCATCGCCAACAACCCCTAAACCCAAATCCACCATCGCTAAACCCAAATCGAAGGTCGCCATTGCCGAAAACTCAACCCAGCACCACCCACGATCCCAACCCAGACCGTACTAGAAACCAAACCACCAGCCCCTCAAACCGGAGAGAAGGGGGTGGGGTTTCGGGGTGGTGGAGGAAGGGGGTGGGGTTTCACGGATTAGGGGTTTGGGCTAGGGTGGTGGTGCGACGGGGAAAGGGGTGGGGATCCGCCAAGGGGGATGGCTGGCTGGTGGTTGGAAGAAGAGATGCGGGCTAGGTGGTGGCTGTGGGGTGGAGGGGGAGTGGCAGGGGAAGGGGATTGGTGGCTGGGGAAAGAGGAGAGAGAGGGGCAGGGGTGAAGTGGGGTCCACAAACGACAAAACTAACAGCTTCCGTTAAGTGGTAGCAAATTTTGACAAAGGAGTTTTTAGGTGGTAGTAAAATTAAAAAAAAAAATTAAGGGGTAGCAAAAATGAAACTCAAGGTTTTTTGTGGTAGCAAAAGTCAAAATTTCCTAATAAATATTCTTCCTGTTTATTTTTAAACGCATCATTTTAACTTTTTCATTATTCATATATAATCACTTAATTTTATTTTTTTAATATTATAAAATAAGTAAAATATTACGAGGTATTATATAATTAATGATTAGATTAATAGCAATGTCTATTTTCATATTTTCAATTTTGCTACAATTTTTACTAATAGACAAATAAAAAAAGTTATGTCTTGGCAAATGTGCTGGTCAAACTAATGATTTAAGAAAAGAGGGATTATACAGTTTAACGGATTGAATGTAGTTTATAAAGGGGGACAATTGAACATATTGGTAAATAAACAAGACCTCTAATGACAATTGGGTTAAAAAAATAACTCCGACGACAATTTGGTACAAAAAAGTTTATCCCTATTCTTGAGATGAGTCTTTAAACAAGTTTTGAGCAAGACTCTAGCAATAATCTCTACCAAGACTACATATAGTCTTGAGATGAGTTTTGGATTCCAAAACTCATCTTGAGACTATACAAAAGGACAAAAATAATTATGTTGTCCAATAGTGAGCTGCCAATTCACCATTTAAAAAATAATTTATAAATAAAATAAATATATAAATAAATTAATGTTATTAATATTAATTGGATAAGTAAATCTGGAGTGAGTATTGGAATAATGTGTGAAACTGGGAAAAGCCTTGTATGAGACTGAATAATAAAAAAAGTAACTAAAAGTTAGTGGAAATCTGATGTAGCAGAGTTTGGAGTATAAGTCTCAGTTTAGGGATAAATTTACCCTAAGGTTTTTTTTTTTCTTGGGTTAATTGGCCCTAAAAAGGGAGGTTATGAGAAAAAGTTGATCAAAGCTGTAGTTATTCACATGAATTTTCACTGCGTCGGAACTTTGGAGCACTTTTTGCACAAAACAATTCTGATGTTGGATTACTAATATTCTCTATTCTAAATTGTAGGTTGAAAAACTATAAAATCAGAAAATAAAGATTGAATGTGGGCCGAATTTCTTAATGTACGTAAGACGCTGTGACGTGTTAGAAACAATGTCTTAGAAGCAAAATTCACTCCGACTATGGTGCAATCGGAGATGGCGTTGCCCCCCAAGATTTAACACAGCAATCTCTCTTAATGTGCACTCAAAAGAGAGATTAGGAACTCACAAAATGCCCAGAACAACCGTAGAGGAAAACCGAAAACAAAAGAGGAAGAAGATGAAAGAATTTTTGTGTACTCCAAAAGCCACGAAAATACCAGTTTTTAAAGAAGAAGAAAACTTAATTGCTGGAGATATCAAGCCACGTAAATAATCGTGGAGGAAAATTAGCGAACAGTTACAACGTTTAAAAGATCGAGTCAAATGTTGTTGTGGACTTCGTAACTGAACAATCTCATAAAAGCTGGAATGACAGTTAAGACTTAGCCCAAAAAGGTAGACACACCACACACGTGCCACGAACCGAACCGGCCGGCGGTGGCGACACGCACGTGTCTAGCCCACAACAATAGGAAAAACACTTCAAACATCAAAGTATGAACACACATATTTAAACCAAGTAAAATATACTTCTCCTACCAATGTGGGACAAAAATCCCTTCTCTCCCAATATATAAAACAAGTAAAGCTTCCTTATCCCACCAATGTGGGACAAAGGGTTTTCCTCCAAAACAACAAAAAAACCTTCCTTGGCATTTATTTCCAACATAAATTTCTAATCTTTTGTTGATTGAATTAATCACTTTATTCCATTAATTCAGATTATAATTTTGATAGCTAACAAAACTTCCAACATCATTAATTATTCCTATTATTCATCAGTGTCATTTTAACTAATTAGTTTGTCATTTCAAATAATCAACGCTACTTGATATAATAGGAATCATAGTCATTAGCAAATCATTCCTCTGCATTAATTCAAAAATATATTAGTACGACAATAATATTAATGATAAAGCAATTGGGGGATAAGAGTTGTGACGCGTTGAAAAAGAAATGCTTCTAATATAGGCACAAAGGATTACATACTTAAATAGCAAAAAGTGGAGATTTGTAACGTAAATCATCAACCATGTAAATCTCCATGGATGATATTACTTGCTCAACCGTGATAGTTGACAGCTTGCTTCAACTAGCATATGGTATTTGGCCAGTAACAGAGGGCTGAACATTATAAATCACCAATATATTTTTAATACCGTCATCCTGGAATAATAGTGATAGAGCAATGAATGCAGTTAGGGGACGGTTTTTTTTTTTTTTTTTTTTTTTTTTTTTTTTTTTTTTTTTTTTCAGCAATGTTTGTGTGTCACCCGCTAACATACGAGTAATATCTGACCGATCGAGTAATCCCTGATCAAGTAATCTTGACCGATCGAGTAACTCATGTCGACCGAGTAACCCCTGACCAAATAACCTCGATCATTCTTTCAAAAAAAAAATAAAATTATGAAGCCGCCAACCACATATGAAAGTAAGTTTTTTTTTTTTTTTTTTTTTTTTTTTTTTTTTTTTTTGTAGTATACCTTATGTCTCAAAATAACTGACACAATCAACTTTGCACACATATTGATGCACTAGTTTGACTTTATCTTTATATTATTAAATATTGTTGTAAATTATTAAAAAAAATTATATTATGAAACTTTATATAAATACCTATAGAACAAGATATTTTATGATTTAAGAAAATGTTTTTATTATGTCAGTAAAAAAATTATCAAAGCTAATACATGAATAGTGAAAAAGTCCAACATTCAAGTTATTCTGGGATGGAGGGAGTAGTGAAAAGTACTTTATTGCATCCGCATCTCTAATAGATTAACACAATGTATACCCTCCGTATTTTAATATGTGTTACACTTTGACTGACACATAGTTTTAGGCAATTTAATTAACTTAAATATAATATGAGGTAAGTGGGGTAATTGGAGTATTAGAAAATTGTAAAAAAAAGATAGTGGGGTTAATAGTTTATTGAAAGGTAATGAATGTGTGAGGAACTAAATAATTAAAAAAAAGTTGTAGTGGGTTTGGGTGAAAACCATGAAAGGAGAAATATATAATATTAAAATATACCCCTTCCGTGTTTTTAATAAGTGTTAAACTTTGACCGGCACATAATTTTAGGCAATTTAATTGACTTAAATAAAATAAGAAGTAAGTGGGGGTAGTTGGAGTATTGAAAAATTATAAAAGAAAGATAGTAACAAAGTAACGATTGTGAGAGGAAAGAAATAATAATAAAAAAAAAAGAAGTAACAATAGGTTTGGGTTGAGACCATTGTTTCGAGGTTTTTTGGAATCCCTCGGGATACAGGTCTTGAATACGGCCGGATGGACTCTGACACCTGCAAAAAAACGAATATTCCGGTTGACAATCAAGTTAGCGACCGAAAAATGAGATAATTGTAGAGAGAGAAAGTAGAGAGAAGTTGGGATCTATTCAATGCTCTTTTTATGATATGTCTTAATCTACCTCTCCCATCATAAATGATTGGGGTATTTATAGGGGTGGGAAAATGTGCCACTTTAGGGTAAGTGCCCTAAAAAGGTGGATTCTGATTGGTGGCGTAATCAGGTAAGGACACGTGTCCTATGGTAGCGCCGTTTTGCGGCTTTCTAGGGATTTGGGCCTCCTGATGTAAGGAGGCCTTTTTCTCTCATTACAAGTGCTCTTATGTTTGACACGCGTCAGCTCCCTATTAGGACACGTGTCGCCCTTTAATTAGGTCACGAGTCTTAAAATCGGGCGGATAGGTTGTGCCGACTGGCTTTAAGTGGGACACCTGTCCTCTATATTTTCCAGAAAGATGGTTCGAATTCCATTGACCTGACCGTCTATTTTGACGCGTCGTTAGTGTGTCCGTACCTCTTCCCGTCTTAAATGACGGAGCGGTTTTTTAACCGTTCAATTTCTTGGTTAAACTTTTTCAAAAGTTACCATTTGAATTTCTGGGTGGGAAAGATGGTTTTACCATTTTGCCTATAAATAGGACTTGTTTGACTTCACAAAAACAATT